TGCCACCATTGCCCCAGTCCCCATTAGTCATAACTCTTTTTTTTTTTTGTCCTCATGAACCTGAGCCTGCCAAGAAAAATATGTTGATGTCTTTATATACAGCTGCCTAAACTCATTTATCAACTATTTAAGAATCCGTATAACATTTTTTGGCCATTTAAACGTATGGAATTACAACTTTGAAACTTACACAAACCATGTTTGACATAAAAAGTAGTTACTGATATCTACGAAATAAAAAGAAATAAGAGTCCAAGGCGAACTTCCACTTCCACTACCAAGGAGTATCTTTAAGTAAAGCAATCAGTAAGCATTTATGAAATGCCCACCATAGGAACTAGGAAAGACACAAAGAAACACTTCCACTACCAAGGAGTATCTTTAAGTAAAGCAATCAGTAAGCGTTTATCAAGTGCCCACCATAGGAACCAGGAAGGACACAAAGAAACTCTTCCACTACCAAGGAGTATCTTTAAGTAAAGCAATCAGTAAGCGTTTATCAAGTGCCCACCATAGGAACTAGGAAGGACACAAAGAAACATACTAAAGTGCCTAACCTTAAAGGGCTTACCACTTATAAAGGAAATAACCAATATACAAGGCATTGAATTGAATTGAACTGGATTGGATTGTATTGAGTTGGATTCTTTGTGATTTCATACAGGAAGCATTTAATACCCACTAAGATATCACACTGTGCAAGGTAGTGTGGGTTTGAAGTATTTATAATAAAAATACTGATACAGTATTTATAATAAAAATACAGTATTTATAATAAAAATACTGATAAAACACATGTTCCCTCTCCCACAAGACTCCTAATTTAGGGGACAGCAGGAATGAACTAACTAAAATGCAAGTCAAAATGTAATCGTAATATAATAAATTATAAATATCTATTTGCCAGGAGGACTAGCTTCATTCTATCCATGTGATGAATGAGCATTTGTAGAGGAGTTGAACACGGGAGCAGACTGAGAGAAGGGAAGGCCATTTAGGTTGAGAGAACAGCATGAGCAAAGGCCTGGAGGAGGGAATGTGCCCAACTGTTCAGAGAACAGAGAGAGGTTCTTGTCATTTAGAGCGTAGCGTTCAGGATGGGGCACAAGACTCTGCATGAGATAAATTAGGGGAGGGAGAGCAGGGCCAGAGCCTTGGGGCACTTGCGAGGAATCACAGAGGCACAGAGTCCAAGGGCTGCCGGAATGTTCAAGATTGGAGCTCTTGTGCACAGGGAGCCATCTCCTCTCACCCAGGTCACTGCACCAGCTTTCAACCATCCCTCCATTCCATCTCAACTCAGGCCCTCTCTCATCTATTCCCCACGCTGCAACCACAGTGGTCCTTTGGAAACTGCAGATCAGGTCAGGTCACTCTTCCGATACTTTCCTTCTTTTTTAGAATAAGTGCAAAATATTAATATGACCTCTGGGGCTGTGCAGAGCAGGTCCCCACACACCCCCTCCAACCCCCACCTGACCTTTTACCAGGACACCCCATTTCTCACATAATGTTCATTTACCTGACCTGCTCCTCCCTAATCTTAGGCTGCTATGGGGTATCCCCTGTGCCAACTGTAATGCTGGGAAATAGTAGGTGGTCGATACACAGCTGTGGAATGCAGTAGCATAGGCAGGTGTGCAAGAAGGAATGAATGGAGTGCCTCCACAAGTTTCTTCTCAAGTGCCATTGGGCCTTATCACGAAGAGCCTGCAGGAGCAAGAAACTCCCTATTCTGATTGGAGAGCAAAAGACAGATGGGCACAGGTGGAGGAAGATTCTGAGCTAAAGACAAAGGAAGCTGAGGATGTTCACATGTTTTCTTACCTTTACTATGATATGTGTTTAGCATATTTGGGATTGAGGGAAGTAGAAAAGGCCTGACATGGGGCCCATGAAGAATAAAGCAGGAAGCAAAGCAAGTACTCCTGAAAGGTCTGCAGAGGAGTTTTGAGGTTTGGTCAGAGAGGACGAATGGGACGAAGCTCAGGGCGGTGCTGAGGGAGAGAGAGCAGAATGCTAGGTTGGTCAGGATGGGCATCACGGAAGGTCAGGGGATTTTAGAACAGGAACAAGGGTATGGCTGAATTGACCTGCCATGGAGTCCTGAGTGGGCAAGAGAATACATAAAGAGGGATTATACACTGAGAATGAAGGAAAGGCTGGCTGGAATCCAAAGGAGTGTGAGAGACATGTGTCCATAAGATTGCAATCACAGAGGGGATTCGGAAAGGTCAAGATCACAGAAAAGAAGACTTGCTCGAGGCAGAGTTGCCCAATCACTGGAACAGAGAAGGAGGTCACAGGAATCAAAAGCAGGAAATTGTTGGCCCAAGAGCTGAGGTCACTGGGGATAATAGCTAACCACTGGACCCTTTTTATGGTATGTATAATTATAATCCCACATGCGTTTGTTGGCTCACTTGCTATTGTCTACTTATCACCAATCCAAACTAAATTATTATCCCCTCAAGGGCAGGGGCCAGGTATGTTTCTATGTGATATCCACTGTCTGTCAAAGTCAGATATTCACTAAATATTTGGAGAACGAATGAATGACTGAATATGTGACTACAGCACACTGCTTCTCATCAAAATGACTGTTTATAGCAATTATGTAGTACTAGTGGAAAAACACTTGAGACTGGAGAGTAGTGAAGACGTAGTTTTACTAAGCCATTAAGCTCTGGATTGTATACAGTTGTTCACATGATACATTGTTCTCTCCATTCTGAAAGCGTAAGTGCTTCAAAGGCAAGAGCCAAATCCTATATAATATGTATGTAATATTTCCTTTCTATCCACAGAGCAGCCAGAACTCTAGGAAAAGAACAAGCAGATGTATACAGCCTGGAGGGGGAGGTTTTATAATGAAACAGACTTCTATAGTTAGAGGAAAACTGCGCCATCACTGATCTTCAGTAACTTGTTTCCTCATCTGTAAACTAGGAATAAAAAACAGCATGCAGCACACAGGTTGATGTAAAGCGTAAGTGAGATAATGCATATACCCATCTGTCAGTGCTAGGCACACAGCACTCCATGTGTGATACCTAAAGATAAAAATACTATTTTACCTGTTTTCTGGGCTGTGTAAGCTGCATTTGGATTTTGGGTTTGTCGTTGTTTGTAGCAGTGACATTCTCATGCTCTTCTCAGTACCCTGGCCAGAAGGTTTGTTTCAGCAGCAGTGATTCCAGACCCCAACTCTGCTCTTCTCCAGAAGCAGGTATCTATCTGCATGCTCCTGCAGCAAGGGTGATGACCTATCTGGGCACGCACAGCTCCATGCTGCCCTCTGGTGGATGTATTTTGGGCTGCCCCTTCCCTGCCATGAACTTTCTGCTGTGTTGACATTAAGGTGCAAAGATAAATTATATGAAGAGCACTGATAAGGAGAGTCTTTGGAGATTACAGGGTAGTGAGGAAAGAATGCACTCCACCAATTGTTGTGTTTGGTTCCGTTTCTCAGTTCTCCAATCCTTCTACCGAGGGAATGGCTATTTCTGCACCAATGAAAACTCATTATCTCCAAGGGATCTGGGACGTCAGTCAAGGTGGCTCTGAGGCTCTGAAAGGGGCAGCGTTTAGCCTAAGATCACACAGTTAAACAATGACTTTGACCTCTTAAGCTCTGTATTTGCAGACCACTTTCTTTGTGTAAGGAAAAAGTCACAGGGCTCACCCTAAAATGCAAATTATTCTAGAAGGGTATCTGCTTTGCCTCAGCTGAAAGTAATCTACATGGCCATAACAGACCCAGGAACCATCTTTATGCCTTCTCTTTTCCTCATCTATGACCGCCAATAAATAAGCAAGGCCCTTTGGTTTTCCATATCACGTATCCGGTTCACTGCGCTCCATCTCACCTGCTATTAACTAGCTCCATTCCCTATCCTTTGTTTGGATGACCATAGTTGTCTGCTAAGAATTCTCTCCACTTCTTCTCTCCTCCCATCTCCTTCATAATCCTTTCTCCTCCCAGCAGCCAGGATGAGCTGATGCAAGTCCTGTTTAAAACTCAGCACCTCACCCTGCTCTAGACATTTCTATATGATTTCAGTCTCATTGTATACTGTGCCCCCTTGGCTCTCCATATTCCAGCCAGCCTGATCCCTCGCTCATCCTCCAACATGGCCAGACTTTGCCTTTGCACTTGCAGTTCTCTCTGCATGGAATAGTCTTCTTGGAACTGGCTCATGGCTGGCTCTTCCTCTTTTTTCATCTCAGCATAGATGTCTCCTCTTAAGAGGCTGGCAATAACCGCCCTATCTAAAACAACTCCTTTCCCCAACATTCTCCTTCCCCAATATGGCAATTCTTGTTAAGCATTTCTATGAATTTTCCTTCATAACAGTAATCACTACCTATCATTATCTTATTTGTTTAATGCATGGTGTCCATTAGAATATAACTTCTAGGAGGGCAGCGTCTTTGCCTTCCCAGGGTCTTCTCAGTGTCTGGTACATAACAGATACTCAAAAAAGTGCTTAGTGGGCTGGAAGAGAAGTATTTTATAGCTTGTGGCATTGGCTAACTTTTCATAACCTGGCCCCATCTGCAGCTGCCCCTCTGCATGTCCAGCCACATAGAACCATCTTGATCAGATTGTGCCCTTATGTTGGTTGACTGGGGGAATGAGCACATTTAAGGGATCTCATTTCCCTATAGCATGCCCTGTGTGAATGTTGACATATGCATAGACAAAGCTTTATATATTTATACAAAATCATATTCCTTCCTCCACGTAACTTATAATAGTGAATCTGAATTCCTTTCTGTATTCATTGCTGTAAGTCATAGTAACAAGATTTGATTGTGCTAAATGCCATCCCATCACATTAATACACACTTGATACTATGTTTATTTGATGAAGGTTTCCCCTGAAACTAGGCACTCAGGAATTGTTTCCAAGAAAAA